CTAGACAGATAAGATTGTTAAGTGTGTCCTTGAACGAAATTTTACCATCTTACCCAGCCAGATCTTTTAATATGAATGACTCTTACCTAAATTCATGAAAGGCATAGTGAAGTCGACAGCTGACTCTCGATCTGACGTTATAGTCAAGTCTGTGATCGCCAGGTGAGCTTCCTGTAACATTATTTCACCGGATGTTACCCCTTAATCCCTTTGCTATAATGATCACTCGACGTAGCCGTTACTGACATCACGGATTATTTTCCCAAGCATTCCCGTCCACTTCCCTGTCTCCTTCGAGTACGACCCGTACACGTTGTCCGTCTGCACTTCGAACGTGTAATTAAAACCGAGCATCTTGCTCAGCTCTTGAATGATGTCTATACCGAATCCCTCGTATCGGTCGTTCCCCACCATCATGTCAGATGACTGCTTCAGCATCCCGTAAGGAGGACTCTATAGAACATGACGCTTTTTATCATTAACGTACACGTCTATTAATTTTGCTATTGGGAATTGACACAGGGGTGGGATCAGTAGATATAGCTAACCATCATGGCGACGCGAAGCCAGGAATTATACTCGTGGTCCCGAGAGTCTACGGCCGAGTACAGTTTAGTTTTTGCAGTTTTTGATCGTTCTGCGCATGGCTTCGTCTAGTTCTACTCAGGGGTCTCGGAATTTATCCCACGGCCGGAAAGTGGGGACGACGCGACCATGGTGGGGACCAATAGTTGGTGGGGATATGCAGTGATTTTCACGGTAGCGCTGCGGAGAGCTTCGCGAATGCGCATGAGCACGCATAAGGAGAATAGTAGTGGGGATCGAAATACGGGCGAAAAACAGGGTAAGCGAGCCTCGTGGGATAAATTCCGAGACCCCTGGTTCTACTGCTCGCCACGAGAGGTCATGGTAAATGTGTCAATTCCCAAAACTGACGAATGTTTACGCACGATGGCGATTAGAACGATGAACGTTCTATTGACTAGACTCATTTCTTCAGACATTTGAGTATGCTTTTCCGTTATCCATGCAACTGGACTCGTACTGTTCCACACGCCGATCTTCTTCGGACCACCTTCGGCAATTCTTATCACGTCCAAGTGGAAATCCGAGCGGAAGCCAGCCGTGTCGAATTTGATCAGCCCAGTGAGACCCTCCATTTCTCCCTGAATCATAATAAGTCAAAATATGATTATGAAAAAGATGAGAGAGAAAAAAAAAGAAGTCTATGTATTCTGATCGAAGATATTAAAATTAGACTGTGTTTAGTTCTTACATGGGCGCCAGTTCTGAGCCCTGTTGCATGATCGCTCCGATTGTGAACCAAAAGGAATTCTTGATCGTGAATTGGTTCTCAAGCTCCTCGGGCTCCTCGATGCAAGGATACGGGTTCGTCCATTCGGCTGGACACAGTCGGCCGCACAGGAACAGCATGCTAGACACTAGTATTTGCGCACCGATCAAATACCACCAGACACCGGCCGAGAACGGTGATAAGAAGGAAAACAAACTTGGCGGTGTCTTCGTTGGCTTGCGGTATAAAATGCTTATTCCTACACAAACAGATCAAACTCAAAGTATAGTAAATGTCCCAATTTTTGGTCACAATTCTGGCTTACAATATAAAATGTGAAACGATTCTAAATAATAGTTAATCATAACTCGGTACCTAAATTCATGAATTTATTATGAATTACTCTTATCTAAAGAGTCTATACTCTGTTCACTGAGAGTGTGGGACCGTTTCGCGCAGCTTGGAAGGTGGTGGGGGT